TACACAGTTTACACAGGGCACTTGCACAACCTCTTGTGATTCCAGCCACCTCAACAAGAAATATCTATCTCATTTTATGGACAGTAAAACCTCAGTGAGGTAATTATGATCTACCCCATTTAATGGAGGATAAAATCCAGAGAGGTAAAATAACTTGCCCGAGGTCCCACAGCCAGCCAACCACGAAAACGGAAACACTTGGTCCCGGACGGTCCACCAGGCTCTTTTCAGAGGAGCCCTGTGTTGTCAACCCCAAGTGCATGCGTTCAGTGCTGCAGAGAGCTAAAGCCAGGGGGACCCTGAGTTGGACATTACTCTGAAATCTACAACCCCAGATTACGGAGGCGGTTCTCCATCATGCCGGTACCGGGGACAAGAGTGTTGCCTACACGTGGTGGGAGTTTGAGCCACGACAACAGGCCGAATGGGAAAGCTGGCAAGGACTAAGGACACACAAGTTCCCTGTCTTCATTTGGGACCTTGAATAATTCCTTCTTTCTAGGCCTCCAGCTGCCCTCCACACAAAATTCCTCAGGGAGAGACATCTACACCCCCGGTTCTCCAAAGTGTGGTCTGGAGCGCGGGACTCCATGAAGCCAAACCTTTTCTTAGTAACACCGAGACACGTTTGCCTTTTTACTTTCCTCCTCTCTTGCATGTACCGTGGGGTTTTCTGGAGGTTATGTGATGAGGGACGTGGCACCAGGTTAAACATCAGAAGCAGACAGGAGAACCCAGCTGACTGTTAAGGCAGATGGTAAAAAGACTTGCAAGAATAGATAGAAAGCACGGCCACTCTACTAAATTTTTTTTTTTGAAAATATTTTTCATCAACTATGATGCTTACATTACAGCGCAGCTGATTTTTATTCATTTGAAAAGAACACTTAAAACGCTTCTCAGTTTTAATTGTTAATTCTGCCAGTATCCATAGATAGAACCCAAACCAGGACCTCTTTGGAGTCCTCAATTTCATGAGTATAACCGAGCCTTTAAACCAAAAACTTGGGGGGCGCCTGGGTGGCGCAGTCGGTTAAGCGTCCGACTTCAGCCAGGTCACGATCTCGCGGTCCGTGAGTTCGAGCCCCGCGTCAGGCTCTGGGCTGATGGCTCGGAGCCTGGAGCCTGTTTCCGATTCTGTGTCTCCCTCTCTCTCTGACCCTCCCCCGTTCATGCTCTGTCTCTCTCTGTCCCAAAAATAAATAAACGTTGAAAAAAAAATTAAAAAAAAAACAAAAAAACAAAAAAACAAAAACTTGGGAGAATCAATGGTCTATTCTCACTGTCTCCAACTCCTCTCCTTTCATTTCCTCTCAAACCCACCCTCATCAGGGGTTCTCCCCATTATGAGCCACCAAAATTGCTGGTGAGCGCTAATGTCTTCCTGATCGCTGAAGCCCAAGGTCAGTCCTCGGTCCTCTTCTCCCTCGACCCACCGCCACAAGGACCACAGCTGATTACTTCCCCCTCCTGATGTCTCATCTTCATCCGGCTTCCAGGACACCAGACCCAGGTCTCCTCTCTCTCTGGCTCCTCTCCTTCTCCCCAACCTCACTGTGGGATGGCCCAGAGCTCGGTCCCTCTTGGAAATCACTATGCCCGCTGCGGTGCCTTGGAGGTCTCTAAATTTGTTATCTCTAGACCAGATCTCACCCCTGAACCCCAGACTCCTCTAGCTCCTGTCCCGCCTCTGTGCCTGGATTCCACTTAGGCATTCCAAACTTTCACACGACAGCAAAGCCTAACTTTCCCCAGCCAAACCTGTTCCTCTCGATGCCCCTCCCATCTCATTTGGTGGCAACTCCATCCTTCCAAAGGCTTCCAAGGCCAGAAACCTCTAAGTCATCCTGGATCCCTTTCTCTCGTACCATTCGCTCCAGCAGGAAAATTGTTGGCTGACTCCAAAACTCATCCCCAATCCAATCTCCCCTCCCTGGCTCCATGGTTCCAAGCCACCACTCCCTCTCACACCTGGGTTGCTACAGTAGCCTCCTATCTTATCCCCTATCCTTTTAGGGCAGCAGCCACAATGATCCTTTCAAAAGATCAGTTCTCACACAGCTGAAGGACATACCCAGGACTTCCCATCTTACCCAGGCACAAAACCCCAAATCCTTACAATGGCCTCCAAGGCCTACCCTAGTTGACTCCCAGTCACCTTTCTTGCTTCTTTTCGTACATTCCCCTCTCTGCTCTGCCCAGCTTCTGAGCCTTTATACTGACTGCTCCCTGTCTGGGATGCTTCCCCCCCCACCCCCCCAGAAATCCTCATGACTCACTCCCTCCACTCCTAACCTTTACTCAAATGTCACTGTCTCGAGAGACCCACCCCGATCTCTTCCACTGAAAAGTACACCTCCGCCCTCCACCTCTCAGTAGTCTGATGTCCCTTGTCCTGCTCTAAGGCCCCCAGAGTACTGAGTATTTTCGAACATATCACTTATAAGTCCATCTCCCCAACAGAATATAAGCTCCACGACTGCCGAGAATATTTGTCTAGTTTCTCTACTGACGTATCTTTGGTGCCAAAGAGTCCCGGGCAAATAGTTTCTCAATAGTATGTTGAATATGTGGAATTAGCTTCTCCGTCTATTAAACTTAAGTGGGGAGCAGGGGGAGGCTGCACAATAGTTCATCCCAACTCAAGCCTCCGATCCCTGAACTGGCCAGATACAGCTCACAACTATTGTCCTCACTAGCAGTCAGAGCCTGGGGCACTTTGCAGGGCTACATGCCCCATCTTATCTTATGTCAAGGTCATCTATTTCTCCTACCTGAAGGAATCACCCCTATAGGAGCTAAAACTGTGCCCTGCAAAATAGCACAAATCCCAACCGTGGCTGTGCAAATGGAGCCCCGATCTCAATCAGTTGCGACAACCCCACGATTCTAACCCACATTCAGGTCTCTCTTCCAATGACAACCGTCATCTTACTCCAGGGCAAACTTGACTTCTAAGAGCTTTTTTATAAGCGGAAGGGAGGAGATGTGACGGCGTGAAATACGACGAAACCTGGTCTAGCCAACCCTTTCTGGGCTCTGACCCGGCGCTGTCTCCTACTGAGCTTTAGGGAGCACCCTTTCTCGGTGGGCAGTGGGGACGAACTGGCCTGGCATCTGGAAAGTGCTCAGGGGTTTTGGAAAGGATTAACCTGGTGACTCAATCCAGAAGTTCACGGAGAACACCGCAGATGTGACCAGGCTCAACTCGGCACTCAGCACCACCAACTAGCACTCTGCGGGTGATGAAGGGGAAGGAAGGGAAGTCCAAGAACCAACCCGGGTGACCGACGGCTCTGTGCCCAATGTGACCCCTGGGATTAGCAGCACCCCTCATCGCCTCATCTCAAGGATTCAGCGAATTTAAGAGGAGCTCATTTCCAACCTGCCCTCGTAAGAAACAGAAGGTAGGAGGGAGGGAGAAATACACCTGCAACTTAACTTAGGACGGTGGAGAAATGACTCAACCCCCTGCGGAGTCGCAAAGGTGAACCAAAATGCTACTGTGTCCCCCTGGCGTATCTGGCGGTCGACGTTCTTTTCCCTTCCCGCAAAACTAGGCTGGACGATGTGAGCTTAATTCGCATCTGACCAATCCACCAGCCAGCACGTGTGTCTGCTGCCACGAATCTCCCCAAATTTAGGAGTCCTTGTGCTTCCACATCCGGCCAGCTGTCCTGCCGACCGCCTGCCCTGAAGACCCAGGCGCCGTTCCATCCTCACGGCTACTCAATTTCAGGTTCAACGACATCCCTCATGGTGGGAATAAACTAACTGGTCCGTCTGTTCGACTCCACTCGCACGTGCCGGAAGTTCTTAATTGCTGCGCTGCGCTGCCCCGCGGGTGGCTCCCAGATGCCTACTAAGTCAAGGCCAAATTCCAGGGTCCCTGGTGCCACCTGATTTCCGATTTCATTTCCCTCGCTCACACCTCAGACTCTGGCCCAGGTGAACTCCCACTGCCACTGCTGGGATTTGCCACCTCAGCTCTCCTGGCAGGTCACGGTCTCTCTGGTTACCACCGGTCTGCTGTCTCCGCGACCCCAAACCAGGGGAGGTACTCAAAGGCGCTAGGCTGCCTGTCTTCAGGTCCTCTGCAGAGGCTAGTCCTTTTCCCTGCAACGCTCCCCTGACCCCCAATTCCCCAACTCCCCTACAAGGCTCATTTCCCTTCCTATCAGTTCTCCTTTGTGGCAAAGCAACTATGGTTAAGTACCGATCAATGTTTCTCTCCCCAGCTAAGCTGCAGAATTCATGGGGATGGGGCCATTTTCTGAATTTGCTGACCACTGCCACCCCAGGGCCCAGCACAGCGCTCAAACGAAAGCCCGAATCAATCTCCTTAAATAAGCGAAGACTTCCGCATAAGACTATTCACTCGCACGTCATTCACAGTATCTAAAATGGAGAAAACCCATCAGATGTCTAAAGCAGGAGAAAGGTTACGTTATGGCACGTGTAACGGAATGCCAATGTTGGAAAACTGTACTTTCAAAGGATCACATGGGGAAGTGCTCAGATTAGCGCCCAAAGGGCAGGAAACAAAGCGGTGCCTAAATATAGCACGCTCTAAACCGTGCAGAATTGCACGTGTGACCAGGAGGGATACCATCAGGGGTAGCGTGTATTCTCTGAAAAAAAACTGTCCGTACCTCTTTTGCACATTTATTGATCAATGGATGAGGAAAAGGGATTTCTAAAAACCTCGAGACGCCGCTCAAATGCAACGTCCACTCGGAAAACCTCGCTAGACTTTCGGGCTCTTTCTTCCTCCACCCCACAGATCTCCTCCTCGTGACCTGTTGGGGGTGGGGGCAGGGGGTCTCTGATCACAAGCACTTTGTGGTCTTTCACCCTACAATCTGCCCCCCCCCCCCCCCCGCAACTCCACAGGGCTCCCTCAAGGGCCCAGGATGAAGGATCCAGTCCAGGAAGCGTGCATGCAGAGCAAGAGTACACTCACCTAGTTTCAAAACACTCAAGATGCTTTGCCCTGAATTTTAAGCAGCACATGTGACCTGGTCCATTCTGGTTTCAAGTTCAAAGGCATCAGGCCGGTCCTGTGGGTTAGCAGCTAACATATCTTTCAAGAGCTGCTTGATCCCCTCAGACATGGAAGTCCTGCGTTTCTGGGGGATGTGCAACTCCATCTTTGGGTTTTCTAGCAGCGCCTCGCCAACAGGGACGATTTCGGTCCCCTGTTTGATATAGGTCCCCAGGAGCTCCTTCTTGGTCTCAGAGTCAATAAAAGTGATTCTTTCTATCATTGCCCAGATGATAATGCCCAGGGCAAAGATGTCGGCCTTGGCTGTGTAGTGTCCCTCCCAGACTTCGGGGGCCATGTAGAAGTCGGAGCCGCAGGCTGAGGACAGCCAGTATTTATTCACATTCACATTTTTGTGGTCTTGATGGCCCTCTTTTCCTCGGGGGGCTAACCCAGCACAGACCTTGCTTAGTCCAAAGTCTGCCACCTTGAGGATGGGGGTGCCAGACCGCTCCGTGATGAGGATGTTGTCTGGCTTTAGGTCCCTGTGCACGATGTGGTTTTTGTGCAGGAAGGCAATGGCGCTCGTGAGCTGTAGCATGAAGCTTTTGTTGGTAGCCGGGTCCGGCCTCCGGGACAGGACGTACTGATTCAGGTCTCCACCTTCACAGAACTCCATGACAAACCAGAGATAGCAGGGCTCCTCAGCATAACCCAGGATCCTTTCTCCTAAATCAAAGAAGACCGGAAAGAATTTGAGTGCCACGGACACATTCGCGTCACCGGTAAGGCGACAGGCACGCGGCTCGGGAAGGGAAGAGTGACACGGGTAACAACGCTCCGGTCCAAGCGGACCCGCCAAACTGGCACTGAGCCAACACCGCACAAGCAGGCCCATCTCTAAGCACGCAGGAGGAAATCAGGGTCAACAAGGTAGGAGCGGCACGGGCTGCAGGGGCGGGTGTTAGACACCTGGCTCTGGAATCACCCGGTGCCTGGGTACCAAGGGGCTTACTGCTGGCTGGTTGGATGAATAACCAGGAGGCAACTGCCCTCGGTCCACTTGTCCAAGTTTGCTTCCGCTGCTTCACCTGTAAACGGCCACATGTAATCACTCGCAGAATACCTATACCGGCACCTGCCATTCAATTCGGTATTTACCACCGCCCAGGAGGTGGGAGGAAATAGCCCCATCTTACGAGATGAAGAATCTGAGGCTCACAGAGACTTAAGAGTCCAGGGACTCTAATGCGTGACTAGGAAGCCATGGTATCTCATTACCGTGCCTCCAGACAGCAGCACGCCCCCACAGCTTGCGGGGCTGCGGGCCAGACAAGGGCAAGTATGCACGGAGGCCATCCACGGTCTGTTCATCCCCTCCAAGCGAAGGACCTTTCCCCCCACCCCGCTCTCCTATAACCGGTGAGGCTCTTGTCAATGCACTTAGAATGGCACCACAATTTTATTTCAGAGGCATACTCCAACCAGAGTTTCCTGCTCACCCACATCTGCCCAGCACAAGCTAGTTATAGAACAGGCCCCTGTCTCCAGAAAGTTTAGCTTCAGGGACATAACAGGTATCTAGAACGGCAAGCATCTTAAGCATCTGCATCGAAGTCAACTTTTACAAACAGGGAAGGGTGGGTGGGAGTTGCCAGACCTGGGAGTCAGGAGGGAGGCGGAAGACTGGAGTTACACCTAAAGGACAGGCAGATCAGTGGGGATAAGCAAGAGAATTCTAGGCTTCAAGACGGGATGGATAATGGAACACAGGAACAAACGGACCAGAGGCGTAAACAGGAAGTCTGGAGGAACAGTGGGGTCCAAAGTAGACGAAGGGGTTAGAATCAAACTATGTCGGCCGGAAACTCCGGCTCTGCCTTTCCAGAAGTCTTTCCTTTGGACCCAAAGAAACTCCAGGAAAGTTGGTGATTGGCATCTACCGACAAATCCCAATGTTCTTTATAAAGCTATCAATGGCCCATGGAGTCCTTTGGTGGAAGTTACTTGAGGACTGGAACTGCCCCCAGAGTCTAAAGAGGCAGATGGCTTATGTTGCTGATGAAAAGGCTGGGCCCACCGGGGGTGGGCATATGGGTCATTCATGATTGAGCCAATGCCCGAAGACAGTCCTCAGATGCCTACCAGTGTCCCCACTCCCCCGGAAAGCAAGAGTCACACCTCTTCACGCAGCCTCCACCAAGGCAGAGTCCCCCAGAAGCCGCCACTCTGGGCGCTCTAGGGTGAGGCAAGACCGATAGATGAACAAGGCAAAAGCTCTAGGTTTTTGACCACGATCGGTCAGACCACACTTCCCCTGTAATTATATAATTTGTTTAGATTACTCACAATCAAAGCAATACAGGTAGAACCAGTTTAGGGCAGATGGGTGTTGTTGTTATTATTATTTTTTTAAATTAGCTTCTTCCCACCTCCTCATCCTCTTTCTAGGTCACTGGCTCTGGTGGGCTGAGGTTCTTTATCTGAAAACACTGCAAGATGATGCAGTGATCTGAAGCCCAAATCAATCCAGGCTCCAGAGTAAAGACTCATAAAAAGGAGGGCAAGAGAGGTTTACTGGTGGTACAGCCAGAAAGGAAGCGATTAAAAAGCCATCAAATTCCCTCGGCAAGGGCGACCATCAGAAAACAGTGAAACTTTTTCACTGAAAGTGGGGAAATAGAGGGTGGGGAATGGTGATTACTTTATATACAAAGTTGGTAACCACGGCAACTAAAGGCAAAAGAAAACAAGTCGGCAAAACAGACTACACTGTAGGTCCAGGTTGGAAGAACCCGGGGTGGGGGGTGGGGGGAGAAGGGTACGTAAGTGCCCTAAGCAGGGAATGGGGGGGAGGGGAGGGGGGTAGACGGGCCCCAGGACTGAAGAGCTAGCACTGGGGGAATGATCGAAGCCCAGAAGGTGCTACGGGGGGGGCTGCTGGATGAGAGGTCAGGACGAAGCAGTCTCGGAATCAGACACAGACAGCACCAGCGAGCATGACAGAATGGAAAACTGGGGAAGGCGGCTACTTGTCCCAGACGCAAGAAGCCATTTCCCTGCACAGGCACGGGGCCGTGGGCTCCTTTCGTAAGAAAGCCACAGCATGTGTTTTCACGCAGGAATCCCCAGCTACCTACTCATAAACATAAGAGAGGCATGTGAGAATTCCAGTCCTTTCCTCCGGGAAGACTGCCTACCTGAGCCCCTACCTACCTCACCGCAAGAGGGAGGAGGGAGGGCACAGGGCACTTGATGCATTTTTGTGGAGATGCAAGGCCGGGCAAAGAAATGGGAAGGGTTAGGAGGGGAGACTTAGAAGATGAGGAGTCTGGTTTAGACACCAGCTCTGCCCACTGGTTAACTAGGTGGTTCATTAGTTCAATGGAAAACAAGGAGGGCCGGAGATACCATGGAAAGATGGCTAGAACCGTGGGCAAAGGTTGGGAGAGATGGCCGAACCCCTCTGAGCCTCTGCCTCGTCTGCCAAACGAGAGGGACACCTACAGCACATATTCCTGGGAGTTAAGTCTCAGGCAAAAAATACACTTCGCAGAGCCTAAGATACTTTGGGGAAAGGACATCCTAACCATCAGTAACATCCCTCCTGGGCCTCAGCCAAGTCCGAGGAAGCCACCGATTCCAATAACCCCGGTGCTGTAGGCTAGAGTGAAGCTCCCACACGTTAGGACCCTGGAATCAGAAAATGAAAAGTGGAAGATTCTGTCGTGTTGCTCAGGTTCTTACGAGCCAAACCCATGTTCTAGCCAGACCAGACGGTTTTGAGGTGCTCTCTCCCTATAAGACCTCCCCTCTTCCCAGATCTCTGCAGGTGCATCTGAATGCGTACCTTTGGGTCCTGCCTGAATGCCAACCGCCTGGATGCCTGCCTGATCCCCCAGTAACTTCCTTCTTCCCACCGGCCACCGCCCTAGCCTTGTAATTTACCAGCCCTAGCCTTGTAATTTACCAAGGTGACTGCACACCGGGAAGGAAAAAGGCTCAAACCTCCAGGGATTACCAAGCACGGATTCCCGGAGACACATTGCTGGGGTCCACCAGTTAGCAGGAGGCTTATGAAGGTCAGGTGACCCAAGGGAGCTTCGGCGCCCGTCCATCTCCTGGCGGGCCCTGCGGTCACCAAGCCACCCCATGCTTATCCCCAATTTCAAGATGTATAAGTGGCATACACATGCGCCGTCTAGTAGAAACCCCACTTGAAGCTTACAGCTCTTTGAGCGGCTAGAAACGAAAGTAAATTTTTTAATTCCTTTGGTGCAGCCTGACAGTTCTGTAAGGTGAGGAGTTAAAAATTTAGCTTCCCCAAGGCGGGAGAAAAGACTGGTACCTGGAACTGTTCAGGATTTGGGAGAGGCCACTGGGCTCTGGGTCCCAGGCACCATTAAACGTCAACGTGGGAGCAGTCTCATCTCTCCGGACACTGTTTTTATAAGGTGGGGAAACTAAGAGGAAGGTTAAGTAACTTGCCCAAGATCCCCGAAATGACTGGTTGGGTAAGATGTGAACCTCCATTGCCAACTCCTTCCACCACCCAAGGCTGTCGCCTGGGTCCCAAGAAATGCAGCTTGATTAAAGCGAGACAGGCCCACTTTCAGGATAGTTTGGTTACCTTCCCCTCAAGGCCAACAGCCAGGAGACCACCACGTAAACTCTACGCCAAAACGTATGCTAAGCCACAGCTCACAGGAAGACAGAGAAAATGGGAGGAGAAAAAAAGTCAAGCAGGTGTCTCCTATCTCATTATTCAGGGGGATAGCTACTGTTGGCATCTCCCAACAAAAATGGGGCCTGCTTTGTTCAGAGACTTGAGGCCAGTAGGCTCAGCATAAGGGTAAGTCAGCGTGAGCTTTGGGACAGCAGCAACCTCCTAGAAAGGGATACAAAATCCCCAGGGATTTAGAAGCCTCTACCCAAAGCTGCCTCCAGAAGTTGGATCTCCTTGCTCTAGTCCATTCCATTTAAACATTTCCTGGGCACACACTGCTGGTCAGACACCGGCCCCGAGATAACCAGTGGTCTCTGCCCTCACAAGGGATTCTGGTCTTTCGATGCAGAATGACCAACCGCAGCTAAGAGAGCAAGGAATAGGCCACAGTTGTGCCCGAGGAAGCGAAGCGGGAAGGGTGGTTAGGAGAGAAGAAAGGCAGGCTGCAATCACTCAAGAGCGACCCCTGAGCTGGGTCTCCAAGGATGTAGAACGAACACATCGCACAGGGCGGGTGTGAGCTTGCAGCGAGGGACCCAAGAAATCTGGGGGTCAACGCAGAAAACGGAGGAGGAGGTGGGCAGCAATGAGGCTGGGAAGGATGCCTGAGTCGGGTCCGAAGAACCGGTGTCTGGCCGACTGAAGGATTTGAACTTCAGCTCTAAGAAACAGGCAATAAAGGGGCGCCTGGGTGGCTCAGTCGGTCGGGCGACCGACTTCGGC